TCCCTCCCGCGCCCGGTGACCTCGGCAACCGCGGAACCCGCCGGCCCAGGGCCCCGACGGGAGGTGGGCGGATGTTCCTTCTAACCTCACCCCTGGTCCCGAGGGTGCCACGAGGGGCCAGTTGGCACCAGAGTGCTTTGTGGGTGTTGGAGTGCCTGTTGTTAGCGCGGACCCGGCGGCCGCTGCCTCGCTCCGGACGCGCAGATTTAAAGTGGCGAGCGGCGGGGTTGGGGGCGGTGGGGGGGCTGCAGCGACCGCTCCCTCCGGGACGTGTGCCTGTGCCCTGTCTCCCAGCCCATCCCCCGCCCCTGTCACGGAGGCCCGACCTCAGGTGCAAATGAGCAGGGAGCGGGGTCTGGGGTGGAAGTCGGGCCAGCCTCTGCGGGGGACACCCGCGCTCCGGGCACTACATTCTTGCTCGCTTTGCCCTTGTCCCTGCACATACCTGTCCTGCAGACGCCAGGAGCGGGCACCACGGGAGGGAGAGAGACTGAGGACACCTGCCCAGCTCTGTCCACGCCTTTGCTCCCCCCTCCACCGAGGGCCTGGCTGGCCTTGCCCAGCCCCAGGAGGGATGTGATCCCGGTGCCCATCCCTGTGGCAGAGACACACCTTGAAACCCTCTTCCGTGGCGATGAGGAGCACGTCGAAGGGCTGCCCACGCTGAAAGGGAAGACCGTGGCCGCGCTCCTCCTGGCCCCAGGCGCCGCGCTCCTTGGTGTTGAAGACCACTGTGGACTCGTCCAGCCGGGGGTTGAAATGCAGCGCAGCCTCAGCGCCCTCCTCCTCGCTGCACAGCAGGTTCACGTGAAACCTGGGGAAGGGAAGGGGGTGGGGAGTGGCCAGGAGGAGATGTCAAGAGCCATGAAGCACGCAGACCAAGGCCAAGGGCCAATGAATTAAGACTCGCCATTGAACAAACGCAAGTTTACAGGGACCTGAGTATGTCACACCCCACAGAGGGAGGGGCTGTGGACTGGTACAGGGAACCCAGATGCCAGGCAGGCCAAGCAACTTGCTGCACACACATCACCCAGCAAGGACTGTGATGCTGTGGCCTGGGTTGCCTTCATGCCCACAGAGCCTGGGAGTTGGCAAGGAGTCGTGGTGCTGATGGCCAGGGTGCTCATGATTCCCAGGATGCCCCCAGTTCCCAGAGGGCTGGGAACACTACCAGGGACCCAGTGGTCACAGGCACCCTAGGTCCCAGGAAGCCATACAATTGATTGCTTAGGCTCTCGGATGCCCAGGACGCGTCCAATCACAGGACACACTCCCAGAGTTCCTCGTGACTCCGTTTGGAGGTCCTAGAACTATAGGTAGGAGGCCTGAAATGGTCTTGGAACCCACAGATTCTTAGGGACCCGGCTCCAAAATCAGGGGACACATTTGTGGGAACACCAGATTCCAAAAGGTTGGTAATGGCTTGGGGATTCCAAACCCTGGCGGGCAAAGGTGGCCCTGGGGCCCTCACCTCTGGGCTGTAAGAAGCCAGAGCCAGCTGGGCTGAGGCCTCCGCGCACCCCCACCTCTTACCTCTGGAAACTGGGTCCCACTGGAGTCTCACCTGCGAGCCTTGTCGGGGACAACACCACGAATTCTCATCACGGTGCCCACTCTGACACCCTCGGGCAACGAGGTCTTGTGTGGCACGTTCTGCAAGAGTCCGAGTGGGAGGGGATGAGTGAACCGGGGTACCAAGGCGGTGAGACAGATGGGTCACCCCAGGTAGAAAACCACCAGGACCCAGACCAGCACAATCAGAGAGGAGAAAGGCACAGAGGGAAGCAAAGGGAGTCAGACACAGGCAAAGAGTTGTTAAGGGAAGCACTCAGGATTAACAGAAATATATTCAGGGAGAGAAGCCAAGGGGACATGGGAGCATCGGGATGGGGATGGGTGGGTCCACCCAAAAGGCAGCCCCCGGACACTTCACAGCACAGCTGACCGACCACCCACTTTCTCCTCTGAAACAGGAGACTTCAGCCAGGCCCCAGCCCCTCCCCTAGGCTGGTGCAACCTTGGGTCCAAGGCCCCCCAACCCTCAGACCCTAGAACACTCACAGAGCTCCCTGCCATGGCTGGGACGGTGGGACAGACAATGGTGGTGTCAGGTATGGCTGCTGGGACCTTAAGTTGAAAGCAGGTGTGGCTGGGCCTGATGACTCACCCCATGTCTTTCCAAATCCACCACCCACACCTGGCACAGACCCTGGCCCTGGGGCCAGGGTGGCCCAGCACCCTCTTCCTGGGGCCTCTCACCCTTCCCTTCCCTCCATCCAGGCCCTTTTCCAGCCGCCATAGCCCAACACTAGAGAAATCCAGGCTAGGAAGGGTGGGGGTGGGGTGGGGGGGAATGCTGAAAGGTGGCTCTGAAGTCAAGGAATAGGAAGGGTGGGGGAACTAGGCAGAAACCCCTCCTACAACCTAGCAGCCCTCCTGCAGGTGAAGAGGCTGCTCCAGAATGGAGAGTGGAAACTTTGGGTGGAGACAACCAGACTCAGCACCTGGTCCACACCTCCCCCGACACCCCCAGGCTTCCCAGGCACTCCCCACCCCCCTCACCACACAGGAGGCTCCCCAGGTGCTGGTGGAGCCAGTGCCTTGGGGACAGAGGATGGGCAGCTGCACTTAGGGGAAGGCGCCAAGCTCCCCGTTTGGTGGTGGAGAAAGCGCAGGCTTAGAGAGGGGCAGCCTCTCCCCAAAGGCCTCTCAGTCAGGAAGGGCCCTGCCTGAGCTGGAGTCCAGGGCTGTGTGCCAAGGGCATGTCATCAGACTTTAAACATCGAGGACAGTGGGGCTTGAGGTTATAGGACCAACTGCTCAGGGTGGAGAGAGTCCCAGTGATGGACTCCATGGCTCTTACCAATGAGGTGGCCAGGTCTGGTCCCTGTCTACTGCTACTGTATCCCAATGGCACATCTTCACCCAATTGCCTCATGTGGATGCACATTTCTTCACAGGCTGCCAACCTGCAAGTCCAAGCTTGACTTTGGTGTTGGGCCAGATGAATTCAGCCTGCTATCAGCTTGGTTTCTGGTTTATTCCTGATAGCTCAGATGTGCGCACCCTTGATGATTCTTACTCATTTGTGGAGATTATCTTCACATCAGTGCTGGAAATACATTTTCGAGAGCATGGTTCTTCATTTTTAAATAAGTAGTGAATGTACTTATTCACAGTACTGTATTCTGAAGCTCTACTTCACACTCATAAGTCGTGCGGATCTAACAGAATACTTCACCGAGTTTTGTCCAATACATAGGAGACCTGGGCAACCACCACCCCAACCCAGTTTCTTCCAGTCCCCGAAACAACGGCCCCCTCCACCTGCCCCAGGACACCATGCCACTGCTCAGCATTCAACAGCCTCCAAGTTCAATGTCATGACATGAAGAAGAGCGGTGGCCAGCAGGCTGAGTGTGCTGGCTTCTGCAGCTCCTCGGGAAAGAATTCTGCTGCTTGTACCCACGGTTGTTGTAGGAGTTGGAATCCCACGCTCTGTCAACGTCAGCTTCTTGGAGACTTCAGGCTGCTTTTGTTCACAGCGGAGATAATCCAGGGACTGCTTTGGTTTGTATATACACTCACCAGTCACAGCAGAGCATTTACTGTATGATTCTATCCATACCAGGTCCCTGGAGTAGTCACATCCACAAGGACAGAAAGCAGAACGGTGTCTGCCACGGCCTGGGACAGGGGTGGGGAGCTAAGTTTATTGGGAACAGAGCCGAGGTGGGGAAGGTGAAACAGCTGGAGATGCATGGTGGGATGGCTGCAGAACAATATGAAAGTACCTAATCGCACAGAGTGAACCATGGCCCATTCAAAAATGGTTACAAGGTGAATATTCCATTACTTATATTTTACCATAATAAAAACTTCATTTAGAAAAGACGTTGGCCCCACCCCCAAGTAAAGACCAATTCATGAAACCATTAGCTCAGAAGTATTCCCCTGATTCCACTCCGAGGTCACATATTCATGGTCTTTCCCCTTTTCCCTATCTTACCTCCTCCAATGAGTGGTCTGCCATCCTGCACCCACACAGTGTTTCTTCCCCAGGGGACCCCTCCTGGCCTTGCTGGGTGAAGTACCTCTCAGTGGGCCCCACCCTTGAACCTCTTCCCTGCTCAGGGCTGGGCACCCCCTCTCCTGCTTCCTTCCTTACTCTCCAACCCCACACCCTGAGGGTCAGCCCGCTCCTTACCTGCTCCTCTGACACCCTAGCTGGATGCAGCCCCCAGGGAAAAGGTGGCCCCTCGGGCCCCATGGGCTCCGCCCCCTAAGGAGGCAGCCCTTGCTCACCCACCTAAAGGCTGTAGGACCCAATAGTCCAGCAGAGGAAGGAAAGGAAGAAGCAGAGGAGGAGCAACAGGTATTCACAACCACAGCGTGGAAATTACAAGGATTCATTATGACTTGGAGACTTTTTTGGACAATGGAAATACTTCAAATTTAATCTAAAGCAAAATTCCCATGAAGCCTAAAATATGTAAGAAAGTATAACAAAATCAGTTTATCAAACAAAAAAAAAAACACAACAGAAAAGGATTACTTCCTATATTTATAAATAGAACTTAAGGCTTCCTGGATTAAGAAAAACGTCAGGTTTTAGAATTTTTTTTTAATTTGAAAATTCATTTACAAAACCAAAGCAGTCCCTGTATTATCTCCGCTGTGAACAAAAGCAGCCTGAAGTCTCCAAGAAGCTGACGTTGACAGAGCGTGGGATTCCAACTCCTACAACAACCGTGGGTACAAGCAGCAGAATTCTTTCCCGAGGAGCTGCAGAAGCCAGCACACTCAGCCTGCTGGCCACCGCTCTTCTTCATGTCATGACATTGAACTTGGAGGCTGTTGAATGCTGAGCAGTGGCATGGTGTCCTGGGGCAGGTGGAGGGGGCCGTTGTTTCGGGGACTGGAAGAAACTGGGTTGGGGTGGTGGTTGCCCAGGTCTCCTATGTATTGGACAAAACTCGGTGAAGTATTCTGTTAGATCCGCACGACTTATGAGTGTGAAGTAGAGCTTCAGAATACAGTACTGTGAATAAGTACATTCACTACTTATTTAAAAATGAAGAACCATGCTCTCGAAAATGTATTTCCAGCACTGATGTGAAGATAATCTCCACAAATGAGTAAGAATCATCAAGGGTGCGCACATCTGAGCTATCAGGAATAAACCAGAAACCAAGCTGATAGCAGGCTGAATTCATCTGGCCCAACACCAAAGTCAAGCTTGGACTTGCAGGTTGGCAGCCTGTGAAGAAATGTGCATCCACATGAGGCAATTGGGTGAAGATGTGCCATTGGGATACAGTAGCAGTAGACAGGGACCAGACCTGGCCACCTCATTGGTAAGAGCCATGGAGTCCATCACTGGGACTCTCTCCACCCTGAGCAGTTGGTCCTATAACCTCAAGCCCCACTGTCCTCGATGTTTAAAGTCTGATGACATGCCCTTGGCACACAGCCCTGGACTCCAGCTCAGGCAGGGCCCTTCCTGACTGAGAGGCCTTTGGGGAGAGGCTGCCCCTCTCTAAGCCTGCGCTTTCTCCACCACCAAACGGGGAGCTTGGCGCCTTCCCCTAAGTGCAGCTGCCCATCCTCTGTCCCCAAGGCACTGGCTCCACCAGCACCTGGGGAGCCTCCTGTGTGGTGAGGGGGGTGGGGAGTGCCTGGGAAGCCTGGGGGTGTCGGGGGAGGTGTGGACCAGGTGCTGAGTCTGGTTGTCTCCACCCAAAGTTTCCACTCTCCATTCTGGAGCAGCCTCTTCACCTGCAGGAGGGCTGCTAGGTTGTAGGAGGGGTTTCTGCCTAGTTCCCCCACCCTTCCTATTCCTTGACTTCAGAGCCACCTTTCAGCATTCCCCCCCACCCCACCCCCACCCTTCCTAGCCTGGATTTCTCTAGTGTTGGGCTATGGCGGCTGGAAAAGGGCCTGGATGGAGGGAAGGGAAGGGTGAGAGGCCCCAGGAAGAGGGTGCTGGGCCACCCTGGCCCCAGGGCCAGGGTCTGTGCCAGGTGTGGGTGGTGGATTTGGAAAGACATGGGGTGAGTCATCAGGCCCAGCCACACCTGCTTTCAACTTAAGGTCCCAGCAGCCATACCTGACACCACCATTGTCTGTCCCACCGTCCCAGCCATGGCAGGGAGCTCTGTGAGTGTTCTAGGGTCTGAGGGTTGGGGGGCCTTGGACCCAAGGTTGCACCAGCCTAGGGGAGGGGCTGGGGCCTGGCTGAAGTCTCCTGTTTCAGAGGAGAAAGTGGGTGGTCGGTCAGCTGTGCTGTGAAGTGTCCGGGGGCTGCCTTTTGGGTGGACCCACCCATCCCCATCCCGATGCTCCCATGTCCCCTTGGCTTCTCTCCCTGAATATATTTCTGTTAATCCTGAGTGCTTCCCTTAACAACTCTTTGCCTGTGTCTGACTCCCTTTGCTTCCCTCTGTGCCTTTCTCCTCTCTGATTGTGCTGGTCTGGGTCCTGGTGGTTTTCTACCTGGGGTGACCCATCTGTCTCACCGCCTTGGTACCCCGGTTCACTCATCCCCTCCCACTCGGACTCTTGCAGAACGTGCCACACAAGACCTCGTTGCCCGAGGGTGTCAGAGTGGGCACCGTGATGAGAATTCGTGGTGTTGTCCCCGACAAGGCTCGCAGGTGAGACTCCAGTGGGACCCAGTTTCCAGAGGTAAGAGGTGGGGGTGCGCGGAGGCCTCAGCCCAGCTGGCTCTGGCTTCTTACAGCCCAGAGGTGAGGGCCCCAGGGCCACCTTTGCCCGCCAGGGTTTGGAATCCCCAAGCCATTACCAACCTTTTGGAATCTGGTGTTCCCACAAATGTGTCCCCTGATTTTGGAGCCGGGTCCCTAAGAATCTGTGGGTTCCAAGACCATTTCAGGCCTCCTACCTATAGTTCTAGGACCTCCAAACGGAGTCACGAGGAACTCTGGGAGTGTGTCCTGTGATTGGACGCGTCCTGGGCATCCGAGAGCCTAAGCAATCAATTGTATGGCTTCCTGGGACCTAGGGTGCCTGTGACCACTGGGTCCCTGGTAGTGTTCCCAGCCCTCTGGGAACTGGGGGCATCCTGGGAATCATGAGCACCCTGGCCATCAGCACCACGACTCCTTGCCAACTCCCAGGCTCTGTGGGCATGAAGGCAACCCAGGCCACAGCATCACAGTCCTTGCTGGGTGATGTGTGTGCAGCAAGTTGCTTGGCCTGCCTGGCATCTGGGTTCCCTGTACCAGTCCACAGCCCCTCCCTCTGTGGGGTGTGACATACTCAGGTCCCTGTAAACTTGCGTTTGTTCAATGGCGAGTCTTAATTCATTGGCCCTTGGCCTTGGTCTGCGTGCTTCATGGCTCTTGACATCTCCTCCTGGCCACTCCCCACCCCCTTCCCTTCCCCAGGTTTCACGTGAACCTGCTGTGCAGCGAGGAGGAGGGCGCTGAGGCTGCGCTGCATTTCAACCCCCGGCTGGACGAGTCCACAGTGGTCTTCAACACCAAGGAGCGCGGCGCCTGGGGCCAGGAGGAGCGCGGCCACGGTCTTCCCTTTCAGCGTGGGCAGCCCTTCGACGTGCTCCTCATCGCCACGGAAGAGGGTTTCAAGGTGTGTCTCTGCCACAGGGATGGGCACCGGGATCACATCCCTCCTGGGGCTGGGCAAGGCCAGCCAGGCCCTCGGTGGAGGGGGGAGCAAAGGCGTGGACAGAGCTGGGCAGGTGTCCTCAGTCTCTCTCCCTCCCGTGGTGCCCGCTCCTGGCGTCTGCAGGACAGGTATGTGCAGGGACAAGGGCAAAGCGAGCAAGAATGTAGTGCCCGGAGCGCGGGTGTCCCCCGCAGAGGCTGGCCCGACTTCCACCCCAGACCCCGCTCCCTGCTCATTTGCACCTGAGGTCGGGCCTCCGTGACAGGGGCGGGGGATGGGCTGGGAGACAGGGCACAGGCACACGTCCCGGAGGGAGCGGTCGCTGCAGCCCCCCCACCGCCCCCAACCCCGCCGCTCGCCACTTTAAATCTGCGCGTCCGGAGCGAGGCAGCGGCCGCCGGGTCCGCGCTAACAACAGGCACTCCAACACCCACAAAGCACTCTGGTGCCAACTGGCCCCTCGTGGCACCCTCGGGACCAGGGGTGAGGTTAGAAGGAACATCCGCCCACCTCCCGTCGGGGCCCTGGGCCGGCGGGTTCCGCGGTTGCCGAGGTCACCGGGCGCGGGAGGGA